ATAAATGGAGTTAGTTCTGCAACGTCCTGCAAAAGATACGCAACTACAGGGAGGCATGGAAATCACAGCCAGTGGTCATGGCGAATGTGACTAGCCAGACCCTTCCGCGTCGATAAAAGTCTTCTACAACAATAGAATGAGGTTTCAGAACCGTTGTTGCCCTCACAGGTTTACATATTTAGCGTGCATCTTCTGAGATGAGAGTCGCCGTGATGTAGCCGTTAGAAGTTTGCCTGACGCTCCCAGATCGACCCAGCGTCAGTTATCAGAATCAGTTACAATAAACGTTATATACTATAACTCAGTGCAGTCTGGAAGCCGCTGTGGTTGAGCGGGCCGCAAGGTCATCGGTTCAAATACGTGTCAAACGGGATTTCATTTTCAGAAACGACCTTGGCTCCCAAGTTGTTAAGGCCTAAAATTGGTATCAGGTATAGTCATGGCAAGTAAAGGCGACCGGCGCAATGTAGGCCACATTGCCCACCGAGTGCGAGTTGGTCTTAAACAATTTCAGTCTATCATCTTATGTCGAATCGCCCACTGGCGTAAGAAATATCCATTTTTTTATTTATACAGTTACATAATTGTGTTACCCATTATTGTATTACTACAGTCACATGACTTTGTTTAATGCAGCGGTTCTCAACCTGTGGGTTGCGACCAGTTTTGAGGGTTGAACCACATTTTTACAGGGGTCGCCTAAGACCATCGGAAAACATATATTCACTGAAGTTGTGAAGTAGCAACGAAAATAATTGTATAGCTTGGGGACACCACAACATGAACAACTGTATTAAATCGGGTGCCGCGTTAGCGCAGTCCATAAGAGGCTCGCTTTCAAATCCAGCTGCGACTCGCTGCAGCCCACGGTCATTGTTGAAACCCGGCGGCTCCCGGGGTTCACCCAGCGTCTAGAAAATGGGTACCAGAGTTGACACTCTGGGGTAAATGGAAGGACATCGCTGTATCTACAGAGTTACTTGCGAACGGCGACACAGGCGGACAATTCTTATTAGCTGTCCGTACTGGTGGCAGAGCACTAATGGTTTATAACCGCGTGCAATGACGCTGGTTCACATCTCCAGACTTTACCTTTACCTCTAAGGCATGACTGGGTCTCAGCCGGCCCAAACACTGCCATTTAATGAAAAAATGAGGTACAGTAAACGTTGGGACTAAATGGGTTAATGTGCCGTCTAGATGAGGAATACGGTAATCGTTATTCTCGTGCAGTGCCTTGCCGACTGTCGTGAGCGATCACGCCTCTCCACAATCTGAGATCTTTAGCCGCATTTACCATGCTGACACCCTTTTACACCATAACAAAAGACTGTTAAATCTCTACATGCGTTATCTTTCTCTGTCTCTTTTCAACAGATTTTTTTTTCAGTGGTCACCGCATGCTTCAGTTTCATTCTTCTCATAGCATGGCCACAAAAATGATGACTGTTTCTTTCTGATGTCTGAGATTAAATGTACACGACCCCTCACATAGTTCATAGAAAAGAGATGTGACAGTAAAGACATAATACATAGAAAAGAGCTGTGACAGAAAAAAGTTCATAGAAAAGAGAGGTACAGTAAAGACATATTTCATAGAAAAGAGATGTGACAGTAAAGACATAGTTAATAGAAAAGAGATGTGACAGTAAAGACATAATACATAGAAAAGAGCTATGACAGTAAATACATAGTTTATAGAAAAGAGATGTGACAGTAAAGACATAGTTAATAGAAAAGAGATGTGACAGTAAAGACATATTTCTTAGAAACGAGTTGTAACAGCAAAGACATAGTTCCTAAAAAAAAATTTAAAAAAATATGTGACAGTAAAGATATAGTTCCCCAAAAAAGGATGTGACAGTAAAGACATAGTTCATAGAAAAGAGATGTGACAGTAAAGACATAATACATAGAAAAGAGATGTGAAGACATAATTCCTTTAAAAACAAGATGTAGCAGTAAAGACATAGTTCCTGCCACACACAAACACACACACACACACACACACACACACACACACACACACAAATGTGGTAGTAAATACCGTAGTCCCTTGGGAAAAAAAAGAGATGTGTTTGTAAATACTTTGCCCATATTTAAAAAAAAACATAGTTTGTATTACACACACAGCTCCTTCAAGAAGAGACAGGATATTAAAATAACTCTTATTGAGAGAAAGAAGATGTTTTAAAGGTATAGCTGTTTAAAAAAAAAATTTTATTTTTTAAATGTAAAGAAATTTAACACAAATTAAAAAAAAGAGAGAGGAGAGAGAGAGAGAGAGAGAGAGAGAGAGAGAGAGAGAGAGCGAGAGAGAGAGAAAGAGAGAGAGAGAGAGAGAAATCACAACAGAGAAACAATGCTGGGGTTGGTTCTACAGTTTCCTGTAAAGGAAATGCTACTGACTATCCTACAAGAAGAGACAGTAGATACAAATGACGCTTATTAAAAGAGAGAAGATGTTTTAAAGGTAAAGCTTTCTTTTTAAATCTTTTAAATATAAAGAAATTTAACACAAATAAAAGACACACACACACACACACACACACACAGGAGGAGAGAGCGCGACAGAGAGAGAGAGAGAGCGAGAGAGAGACTGGTTTAAAAATGAGGTTTCTTGTGAAAATAAGTGGTACATTAAAGACACAGAGGCAGAGACAGAAAGGGCAATAAAGACATACCAATTAAAACAGAAACGCTGATTTAAAAAAAAAAAAAAACCACGAAATTCGTATATTTTTCTAGAACACGCAACGATGCATTGAAGGACACCGTACGTAGCAAAATAGTCGGTGTATTAAAGATGGTTAGTTGCGTATCCTTTATAGGACGTTGCAGAACCAACCCCAACAGTTCCTGCCTGTTGTGCGGTTTTTCTAGGCAAATCTACCTCCAGTAGTTTGCCTTTGCCTTCTGGACGGTCGGCTTTCTTGATACCACTTTCAAAACCAACGCAAGGCGCATGACCTGCAGCTGGGATCGAACCCGGCTTCCCGGCATTACGAAGCGTTCGCATCGACTTGGCCACAGAGCCGACGTATTAAAGTTACGGTTCCTTAAAAATGAGAAAAAGAAATGGCGCAATAAAGGCATAGTTTCTGGCGGAAAAAAACGGTATATCTAAGACATTATTCCTAGATAAAGAAACAGGACATTACAGACACGTTTTCTAGAGAGAGAGAGAGAGAGAGAGAGAGAGAGAGAGAGAGAGAGAGAGAGAGAGAGAGAGAGAGAGAGAGAGAGTTTGTTTGTTTGTTTTAGTACCCAGAAGCCATGAGTTGTTAACCCTTCGGCTCAGTATTATGGATATCGCAACCTTTCGGCCTTGATTCCATTGTAAGTACCGTAAATCTGGGAGAAATGTGGTTTTTCTTCCTACCCCCTGGGAGTGAATCCGGGCCACAAGGAGTTCGTCACCCGGTTACCGCCCAATCCGGTTTAGCCAGCTACGCTAGAGAGTCAGGCAGAGAGAGAGAGAGAGAGAGAGAGAGAGAGAGAGAGAGAGAGAGAGAGAGAGAGAGAGAGAGAGAGAGAGAGAGAGAAAGTATTTTAGACATGATTCATTGGGTAAAAAAATAGAAACGGCATTAAAAACGCTTTAAAAAGGAATCAAACACTATCACAATATGTTTTTTACCACAATGCATTGTCATCCACAAGGCAAGTGTGTGCTCAATTTCAGCAATATACCTTGTCGGGAAATAGTATAAGAATCTAACGCCGCTGACAGTCGAGACAAAAAGGAGTAATGAAATATAAAGCTAATTTAAAAGAAAAAGAAGGCAGGGTATCTAACGCACACAAAAACAGTACACTGAAGACATGGATCAGAAGAAGAAAATGCCCTCTAAAGTATATTTACTAGAGAAAACAAAAGACGTTATGTTAAAGACATGATTTCGATAAATGTAAGTAAAAGTAGAGTCAAGGACCCCTTTTTCACGCCTTTAGGCTAGACATATATATAGGGCTAGACCTACATTTTGTAGACAAATCGGCACTCGGCGGATGATATGGTCAGCATCACACCGACCGCCTCAACTTCCCAGGTCTTTGCTTAGGTTGGGTCGACTTTAAAACCTAGCAAAGATTTTGTTTAGAAAAAAAAAAAATTAGCTTTGTCACCTTCAGATCTGCGGGTGAGCATCTAGCCATTACAACGGCGATTCTCCTGGAAACAGTAAAAAAATGTATAAATAGCACTGCTCCTTGAAGACATCAAAGACATTGTTTCTGGCAACAACAAAAAAGATGGAACATGAAAGGCATTGTACACACACACACACACACACACACACACACAGAGAGAGAGAGAGAGAGAGAGAGAGAGAGAGAGAGAGAGAGAGAGAGAGAGAGAGAGGGCAAAAAATATGAATACACAGTAATTGCCTGGTAGTAACATTCAAATACATTTTCATAGAGGCTGTTTGTTTAAAAATGTCATCATTACGTGAAATATTTCGCTATATTTAGATTCAACTGCGATAGCTTTGTGTTGTATTATGTTCAGAAATGTGTCTGGAGGCTAATGTGAATCACTTTGAGCAACTGTAGTGAATTCACACATCACATGTAACTTGTCTGAATCCCTTCGTGTCTGAATAAATTTAGTATCAAAATGTTTATACTGGTTGTGATTTTAAAAACTCCCTGCAGCAAATTGTTACCTTAACGTTTTAGAAAACAGCAAATATCGAACATGTCAATTACTGTGTTTAAAATTTTTGTGTGTGCCTAACTCTGTACACACACATATATATGTATGTATATAATATATATATATATATATATATATATATATATATATATATATACTATATATGTGTGTGTGTGTGTGTGTGTGTGTACAGAGTTAGCCAAAAGAAACTGTACACACACACACACACATACACACACACTACTTTATAACATTTTAGCCATAAAAAAAGCAAAAAGCACACGTTATTATTGATAAATGAACCCACTATGTTGACAGTTCTCTGAATTTTTCCTTTCAGAAATTGTCAGAAAACTAAAGAAGCCTCCGCCTTTGATTCGTCCCTCAGTGACACCCCAAGCCGGGCCGCCCTTGTTTATTCAGATCATGAAGCAATGCTGGTCGGAGATGCCTGAGATGCGGCCTCACGTTGATGAAATTTACGACCAGTTCAAGAAACTGACAGGGGGAAAGTGAGTGCCTTTATTTGTGAGAGTCACGTCGTATTTCCCTGAAAATCTACTTATTCTTCGCGTTCACCAGCTGTCAGAAATTCATAAACAAGAATATATTTTAATGTTTCGGAAACTACCAGACCGAATGTAAGGACATTTGGTATACAACTAGTCGTCTCCATGTGGAATGCAATTTTTCATTATTTATTGTTACATCGCTCTATTTTGCCGGGGGCCTTAAATATACCTGGGCCATAAATATGGCCTAACAACTGAAAGGGTTTTTGGGACCTCTCCACGGGTGATCCTCATCCGCATGGTGGCACTTTGTGTCACCGAGTGTTTATCGCTAATGTGATGTCCTGGTGGGGTACATCAAGAAAGAGAGAGAGAGAGAGAGAGAGAGAGATAGAGAGAGAGAGAGACATTTGGTATGCTTATCCCAGACATCCGTGACGTTAATTAAGAGAACCAAAATAACGCTTTTTACGATATAAATTTTTATCATAAAATCGCCTGGGTAGACTTTTGGAAGGTTTTACTGTACCAGCACTCCTTCCGGGAGTATAAGGTATGTCATTTATATTTTGATATTTATGACACATAGAAACGGAAAAAAAAACCGTCGTTTTGTCTGGATAGAGCATCACTTTTTTATGAAGGCACGCCTCTGGAAAAAAAATTAACATGAAATTGAACTTGAATCTAACATGTTTACTGTAAAATCTAAAATTGCATAATTTTTTTTTTTTTTTTTACAATGGTTCGACAAGATCATAGGAATTAGCTGATTAGCAAAATCCTCAGCATGTACGTAGACTAAAGAAGAGGATTCCCCTATCTATCTTTTTGACGCTACCAGGAAATCACACAAGCGCTATACACCCGATGACACAAGGTGCCACCATGTGGATAAGGATCACTCGTAGAGAGGTTCCAGAAACCGCGCTCAGCCATTAGACTATATTTATGGCCGTGCTATTTTGCGGCCCCTGGCAAGAGCCAGAGTAGGGCTTTAAATAAGGAAAAATTGCATCCCAAAAAGGGATGAGAAGGTAATCATTAGAAAAGGATTATTTTTGTGTCATGGATATTCAAAGGCTGCATGTCATCAAGAAAGTAGATTGCAACCGTGTTCAAGAATTTCTAAACGCACATAGCTGTTCATCACTTCTCCATCTACTTCGGCCTTGATACTGGGCTTGTTTGGGTGTACACATTCGTGTTACATGTCAGGCGTACTTTTGTGCGGACTGTTGGTTCCTCGCCTCTTAGACAGATGCATTCCAATATGGAAGGCAACGTCGATCAGGTCTACTTTGGCTAAGCCCCCTGTTGAAAAACCTGTTTCTAGAGGTTTTTGATGTTTTAAACAACGGATCAACATCATGGCACACTTCTAGTAACCCATAAGTGCTCCTTTCTTCTTCTAACTCCAGTCTGAGTCCGAAGAAGCTCAGCTCAGTGCACAGGCTCTGTAGCACCGGCGAGGATCCTGAAATACTTTGGGTCAGTTTTTAACTCCACGTTTTCTCCGGGCAGCGCCGTTAGGCTACTCTTTTCGATTTCTGTGACAATACGCTCGGTGACTCCAGAATGTCTTTCCTCAACCTACTTTTATTTCTTTGTATTTTGAAAGTATACAGGAAAATAGGGATTTGGATACATCCTTAATCTAAGTAGGCGAAATGAACAAGCATTTAATTCTCCTGGGATGTTGGCGATATCACACACTAAAACTTTTCCCCAGACGTTAAGTGTTGAGGTACAGAGATAAGACTGACCAAGCAGACTTACTGACTGGAGATTTGCACACCATCTGTTGGTGTCAGATATTTTATATCCTAGCCAGACTTTTAGGAGCAGCTAACTCCGGCTAATTGTGTTTAATTCCCCCTGAGGTTACCTAACTCGACGGCAGGTCCGACGGTCACTATTGACACAGTGAGCGGAAAGTGTTGGCAAAAGAATTGACAAAGTCGGATTTTATTGTGATGACAGGTGAAGTAGACTAGAGGTGTGACTTGTCTTATTTGCTCTGGTCAGATGAATTGACCAGGAGATCCTAGCGTGGGAATTCAAACAATAATTGTACAGTCCCTGACTGACAGCGAATAAACTTACCCACAGGGAGGAGCTATGATATCCTTGAATGAGAATGATTTTAGGCGTAATGTAGGAGGAGCTTGATAAAAGTTATAAAGGGCTGAACTCTAGGTCTGGTAAATGAGATCCTGTCTAGCACATGCCATCTGTTGGGCTTAACCTAAGCTTGAGACAGAACTTTTGGCATCGTGGTTTCATTTTTCCAGGTAAGATCGAAATTAGGTTCAAATCTATATTTTGTGATAGAAATCTAACTGTTTATGCTCAAGTGTGTCTTCATTACTTTGTAGTACTCCTAGGCGGACATTTCTTCATTCTCGTAGGGCACTGTCACATTGCTTTATTTCCTATTTGATAGTGTCATGAATGTTTTTCGTGTACATGTGTTTCAATGTTGTAAAACCTAAATGTTGTTGTTGCCATTGAAATTTTAATGAACTATCATGTTTTTGAAATCACAAGCGTGAAGATAACTTTGGCAATCTTTTCACGTGTGGTTAATGTGAATCTGTATTACATACAGCTAACACACTGAAATGTGTTTAACTCTCGGGAGGCTAATGCGGAGATTGATCCCGGAGAGTAAATCCACGAGATTTTGTTATTTGATTCGCCCCAGAACTATTGTTAGCATTCTGGGCGCGTCGATTGTTCCAAGCATAGATTCCAGAACTGGTTCTGTCTGACTGATTGTCATTTTGAGTCTGTACGAGAGATGGCACCTGACGTAGAAGACTTGACTATCATTACAGGACGTGTAGAGGAAGGCAGAAGATGTAACAGTTGGAATGTGAGACATAAGCCCTTCCAAATTGGACAGGAGTGAATGTGAGCATGAGGGAGAGATGAAAATGTTTTATTTTTAAATAAACATGGCTTGATGTTAGTATAATATACATGCTTAGTGTACATCTAGAGCAGATACTACAAATATGCGCTTGTTTCTTCATTCTCCAGTTCCCACATTGGGCAGGGACTAGTAGGCATCCATTATTTGCCGACCGTCGAGTGTAACGACCTGCAGAAAGCAGTGAGACGACGACAAACTGGAAAAGATAGGCAGGGTCTCAAGCCGAGAACTGTCCCAAAGGTTGTTACTTTCCAATACCTTTATGATTTCATCATTCACATAACCTAAACTCTACTAGCCTAAACAAGTTCATTTTATTTTAGTCAGATTTATTAAAATAAATCTTTTTGATGTTTAAACATAGTTGAGTAAATTGTGTACTTAGGTTCAAGTGTCTTTGTGCATATTAGTTTACTTCAGCTAACAAATATTTAAAATCACTTGATGGGGGCTTTTTGCAATGCCAGGAGAGGAGACCAGTCGCAGGGGTTAACTGAGCACCTGGATTATATCACAGTGGGTGTATCCAGATATCTATCTATCCCTTCTCCTTCTCCTGTGGATACAAGTACAGCAACTTTCATTTCATGGAACGAGCCACTCGCTGTTTTCTTGGCTATCCAGGACTGTCTAGGATCAACATAGCTTAGATAATAGTCCAGTTTCTCACGTGGGTGGGCATTGTTAAGGTTCAAACCCACACCCTCACTATATCAGTGTATTTACCCACGTGGGCGCGCGACAATTTCCAATTACCAACATTGCACACGGGCGTCCCATCTTACTACCCAAAGACCGGGGTGAATACTAGAAGTCCAAGTCCACGTGAAAAAATCCCAGCCCTTACCAGGGATTGAACCCGGAACCTCTAGCACTCTAAGCGGACACAACGCCTCGAGACCACACAGTCCCTGTTTCTAGAATGACCGCGGACAGGCGTAGATAGGTTTTCAGCTTGGTCCTAGAGCACCACTATGCGTGGCTCGGCGCTTCTTTATCTGTCACCAATACAAGACCTTGTATTTTTTGTGTCGTTTTCTTATAAACGTTGAACGGCTGTGAACTCAGAAGTAATGCATGTTTTTCGTTTACTTTTAAGTCTTATCCCAGAAGGGGAATTTTGGTGCCCTACCACTTTACAGGTCAGCATTTCTTTGTGCAGACTGCTGTCTCCTGGCCTTTCAGACAGATGCACTCCGAATTCAGAGGAACAAAAAATATGCACGAATTAGTTCCGTTTACGACATGCTTGATGGGCAGGCAGCCCCCCCCCCCCCTTCCCTCCGCAAAGGAAAAAAAAACCGATTTGGGCTTCAGAAGCTTCACGGGGAACCTTGGTTTATAATAATAGAAAGAGGCCGTAGCACTTATCTTTAGGAGAGGTCTTATTTACTTGAGAGTCACCGTGGCGTAATGGCTAGACGCTCGCGTGCAGATTGGAAGGTATGTATGTATGTATGTATGTATGTATGTATGTATGTATGTATGTATGTATGTATGTATGTATGTATGTATGTATGTATGTATGTATGTATGTATGTATGTATGTATGTATGTATGTATGTATGTATGTATGTATGTATGTATGTATGTATGTATGTATGTATGTATGTATGTATGTATGTATGTATGTATGTATGTATGTATGTATGTATGTATGTATGTATGTATGTATGTATGTATGTATGTATGTATGTCTGCCTGCCTGCCTGCCTGCCTGCCTGCCTGCCTGCCTGCCTGCCTGCCTGCCTGCCTGCCTGCCTGCCTGCCTGCCTGCCTGCCTGCCTGCCTGCCTGCCTGCCTGCCTGCCTGCCTGCCTGCCTGCCTGCCTGCCTGCCTGCCTGCCTGCCTGCCTGCCTGCCTGCCTGCCTGCCTGCCTGCCTGCCTGCCTGCCTGCCTGCCTGCCTGCCTGTCTGCCTGCCTGTCTGCCTGCCTGTCTGCCTGCCTGTCTGTCTGCCTGTCTGTCTGTCTGCCTGCCTGCCTGCCTGCCTGTCTGTCTGTCTGCCTGTCTGTCTGCCTGCCTGTCTGTCTGTCTGCCTGTCTGCCTGTCTGTCTGCCTGTCTGTCTGTCTGCCTGTCTGCCTGTCTGTCTGCCTGTCTGTCTGCCTGTCTGTCTGCCTGTCTGTCTGTCTGCCTGTCTGTCTGTCTGCCTGTCTGCCTGTCTGTCTGTCTGCCTGTCTGCCTGTCTGTCTGCCTGTCTGTCTGCCTGTCTGTCTGCCTGTCTGTCTGCCTGCCTGCCTGCCTGCCTGTCTGCCTGTCTGCCTGTCTGCCTGTCTGCCTGTCTGCCTGTCTGTCTGTCTGTCTGTCTGTCTGTGTGTCTGTCTGTCTGTGTGTCTGTGTGTGTGTGTGTGTGTGTGTGTGTGTGTGTGTGGGTGGGTGGGTAGGTAGGTATGTATGTGTGCATGTATATATATATATATATATATATATATATATATATATATATATATATATATATATATATATATATATATGTATATATGTATATATGTATATATGTATGAAAGAAGACATAATTTTACAGACGCTACGCAAGAAATAGGCAAAATATTCCCCCCCCCCACCCCCCTTTCCCTTCTTTCCTCGCTCACCGACCACATAGGATACCCGAAACTCAATAGAGAACATCGAAAATTAACTCCAACATCGAATCAGTATTTGCTGCAAGGGCCAGACAATGGGGAATGACCAAAAAAAAAAAAAAAAAATACTTATAAACTGTGAATATTGTCAATGGTTTTTGTGCAGAATTTAGAGAATTCAGTGAAAGGGCAGTCTGTGGAAAATAAGGAGAAGAACACAAAGTAGACGCACCGGAAGAAGAAGTAGAAAAATAAAAATACGAAATAATTTTACAGACACAACGCCAGAAAAAGGCTAAATCTGCTAGAGCGAAAATCACCAGAATTGATATTTGCCAAGTTGTTAATCCTATTCACTGGGTATGGTCGTACAGTGGACACATTTGCTTAGTGGGAATCAAGATGGCTACCGCGTTCGTCTGCTGGCATTTTGAGATTGCCCAGAGGGAATCAGATGTGGACAACAGGAAGGGAACACGGGAGGAATACTCAAATCTCTGAAGTTAACCTCCATTGAGTATTGATGGAAGGCTAGTTGTAGTCCAAAGGCGGGGAAAGTTTCGTTAAAGAGAGGCAAGTAATTTCGAAAAGTCGAGACAGTTGGTGTTGGTCTGTTTGTCCGTCCGTCTGTCCAGTCTTCTGTTTGTCTATTTGTTTGTTCATACATGTTGTGCATAGCAGGAAATAACAGTTGTCATTCAAATAAATATATAAATGAAAAATTTTTTTTTTACTGACAACTTTTTATAGTAAACTAAAGAAACTTCTTCCACGTCTTTAGGCGTATTGGGCATATAGGGCCAGGCCTATATTTTATAAAACAATTGGCACATGCTGGGTGATGTGGTCAGTACCACGCCGGTCGTCTTTACTTTCCAGGACTGCACCTGGTACCCACTCGTGGCTAGGTCGACCTAAGAAGCCAAGATCATTTTTGGAAAAAAAGTCCGTTTTCTTCATGACCCGTGTAATAAACTATTGTTGGCGGAATCTATCGTCGCCTGGAGATCCCCTATATCCTTCCAAATAACTTACAGGGCTCGAATTAAATAAGTCTAGGGGAATTATAACGGTCCCTGAGTTCTGGAAAATAAAGGAAGGAAAATACAGAAAGTTAAATTAATAGGGTGAATCCCCGGATATTTCCTAAAGAAATTCAGAAAAACAACCAAAGTCAAAACTTTGTAAATTTAACTTAATTAAATTACGCAGAACAATCTCTAGTCTACCTAAGAAGTAAATTTGAAACGATGAAATCGATAAATGGAGTTCTAAACAACAACTGTATTGATAAATACTGATATGGAATTCAACGATTTTCAAATTAACAAACAAAAGAAAAATTACTGAATCATCATTACACCACACAATGTTCACTGAACAATCTTTCACTCAGCTTTAGGCAAGTCTTGATGAGCTGAAATGTAGTTTCCTTTGGAGGAATGTCCACTGATAAACCGGCAATCAGGAATACGGTTCACGTTCCTCAAGCAACTAGGCAAACAGGCCAACCGGAATACAGGAATACGGTCCTCTGGTAAACAGGCAAGCAAGAATACGGGAACACGGGAACCTGCGGAATACATCATTCAGCCCTGTGTTGAGCATTATGTCGACACATCTGGGGCAGGTAGAGGTGTTGTGGTGTTTGTGGTGTTTTCAGATTAGTAAGGGAGAAAGCAAGGTTCATACGTTGTTTTTCTCCACGAAATATCACAAATAAATCTCCCCACCCTGTTATAATATATTGTTTTATACATAAAACTTGACATAATTAAGCGAACACACTATCGCCTGCGGATTGGACAGTCATTAGTTCAGGTCCCAATAGACCCAGGTCGACTTCGCCTTAAACGGACACCAGGTATAGTAATGGGAAGTAAAGGCGGCAGGTGTGATGTTGACCACATCAACACCCAGGTACCAATTGGTCTATAACACATAGGCCAACCCTATATGCCCACAATGCTGACGACGTTTACTCAAATCATGTGTTGCATAATATAATAACAAAAACAATGTAATGTATACCCAACTGATGATACCTCATGGCACAGGATAATGGTTTCTACTATAAGATCTTTACGCAAGTAGACCGAATGAATATAAGAGTGACAGAGGGAAGAAGAGTTCGCTATTGAATAGTCCTAACGGGAAATAGTAACTTTAAGAACGTCATAATATGTAAGGAATAGTGAATTGTCCAACGGACAAGTATCAAGGTTGATGAAGGCACGGACTATTTATACAATAGTAGAATATAGAATAGTAGGATCTCAATAACATATTTTAGGATACAGCTCAGGCTTATAGGGGATCTCAGCTACTCCCTACCATTATAAATCTCACCTGAAATCGTATATGGTATTATTATTATTGTTGGTGTTAGGCCGATGGTATGGCTAGCAATCGTTCTGTGTTGTGACGAAACTATATCTAAGGGTTTCTCCTAGTAACACCACAAAACGTCATAAATTATGTGCGCCTTCGTACCTTTTTATTCTTTTAGCGTCTATGTTTCTCTATATTTATTTTACGTGCGCAATTCTTTTAACTAAAACTTGCAATTAACTCTTGCCGGACCGAAATTACCCTTGGTTTTCTCACAACCCGAACCCACGACCTTCAGATCAGCATGCGAGAGTCTATCAGCTAAACGACAGCGACTCCCGTTCGTTAACTATAGAGTTGGTAGAGGCAGGGAATACCCAGGAAAAGCTGGGATTATATAGATATCCGTCACATTAAAAATGCACAACGCGGCTTATGAAATATTAATCACAAATCTTCAATGTGAAACGCCATCGGCTGGGCTGATGGGAGTGTTGCTCACAGGCAATGGCCGACCAGCTCCTGGGAATACCCGTGAGAGTGATTAGGGGAGTGGTGGCGTTGAAGTCACAATTGTTTGATTGATGCGAGAAAGGTGGGTTAGGGGAGGAATAGATCGGTAAATGAGTGGGTAAAGAGGGTTAATGAGGGATGTGGGGCTGTAGAGAATTGGGAGGCGGTTGGATGTGTTTGAATATTTGACTATTTTTTAGTGGATGCGTAAGTGGATACATTGGAGCTCCCAGAATAAATAAACCTGCAGTATGATTTGAAAATCGATAAACATTTTCTCTCTCTCTCTCTCTCTCTCTCTCTCTCTCTCTATATATATATATATATATATATATATATATATATATATATATATATATATATATATATATATATATATATATATATATATATATATATATATATATATATATATATATATATATATATATATATATAATAAATATATAGTAAATTATACATCATTAAAAGTCTATGGTTGAGCACAAGCGAAGAAATCAAAATTAAAATGAATGCATGGAAAGAGTCCCTTTTTTTTTTACTATACTCCCATTTACGCATGAAGGCGGGAAAGCAGTTTTTTTTTTTAAACTTTACATCTGAAATGTCATGACAAAAACTTTCTCTTTCGCTGCACATTGCTTGTTTTGTTTACGATCGCATAAGCCTCTACCTTCATGTTTAGACATATCCACCTTTTTTGGCACGAAGAAACTAAATCTGCATTATCTGGCAATGTGTTCAGGAAAGCCAACATTGTAGACACGATGTTTAAGATGCTTGAGAAGTACTCAACTGACCTGGAAGACATTGTGGCCGAGAGGACAATGCAGCTGGAAGAAGAGAAGAAGAAGACGGACCAGCTGTTGTTCAGAATGCTGCCTTCGTAAGTACAATTTGTGGATAGTGATAATTTTCCCATTGTGTGTTCCGGTGATGCATTTTTTGGACTAAAATATTTATTAGATAAATTGCCCCTAACATGTATATCGTTAAGGCGACACCATTTCCGAATCGGATGTGTTGGGCATAACCGTCTCCAGTAAGTGTGTGGGTCTGGCGACGTCAGCTTGACGTGACGTCACCACTCCGGGCTAACGATACGTCCCGTTTTCATTTTGACTGGAAGTGGTCATGGTTGGACCAAAAGGTGCAAATACATGATTGACACCTTTTCACCTACAGATAGTATTGAATTGCTATATGAGGAGGCGTGGGACTCACAGCCCATGACTATAGAGAGTGTGACCACCAAGACCTGCCAGCGTTAAGCAGTCTTCCACAATTATAGCATGGGAGTTTAGGGTCGACGTTGACAACATTTATGTTTATTCTGTTTTGTCTCAGTCGCTCAGCTCTCATCTGCAAATACATAAATATGCATAAAACATGCACGCTTTAAATTGCAAAGTATAGTCTTATAACTGTTCCTGCCAGTTTGTCTTGTTCATATGGTCAAGTATATCTTATAATATTCTTTCTTATTATGTTTGTTTTCACATTTTAAAGTTTGACTTTACCATTATCATTATGCTTCGTGCAGGTAAATATCACAACATAGTGTGAAATATTTGCAAATGTCACAATTGTTCGGCAAATGAATTTGCACATCCATCTTGGAACAGTCATATAATCTGATGCAACATCTCAGAATTTAGAATAAGAATCGATAGAATCCTGGGGCTTGACTTTATTGTTTTTTTCTTTTCAAAAAATACCCTGGCCTACAGGTCGACCCAGCCTTAAATAAGTACTAGGAATAGTTCTAGGAGGTAAAAGCTGCCGAAGTGATGTTGACAACATCACCCACCAAGTACTGATTAGTCTATAAAATATAGGTTCAGCCATATTCGCCAAAAAGCGTAAGTCGTCGAAAATGTTTTTTTTTTACTTTACTGAAAAAAAAAAAAAAAAAAATCTTAGTTTAGTAATAAATATTATCAAATACAAGCATCGTCGATAACAACTAAATATAATTTTCAAACGTTGAAAGTTAAAAAAAAGTTAAGTCAAGTCAAATTAAGATCCCTTTTCATTCCTTAGGCGCATCGGGCATATGGGAAGAGCACCCATATTTTTACAGACCAATCGGCACTAGGTGGGTAATGTGGTCGGCATTACGCCGGCCTTCTTCACTTCTCCAGGACATAGATCCTGGTACCCACATTATTCTGGGTCGAACTGCGGCGCCCCGTTAAAAAAAAAAAGTAAAGTTCCCTTTTCACGCCTTTTGGCGCATCGCGCATATGGGCAGAGCGCCGTACCATACAGCCAGGAATGGGTTTCGATCGCGGTAAGTTGGAATTACGAGTCGGACTGGCAACGTTTAAGCCACGGACGCCGCACGTTAAATTGTACTTGAGAATATTTTATAAACAATAATATTTCTAAACACAAAAACGAAAAAATCCATGGAAAATATGCCATATGCTTAGCGTTATTTATCTTTTAAGGGACATGCAGTCAGTAGCGGAATAATATACTAATAGTTTCCGATTAAGAGGAAGGTAAAGATTATTACTTGGATAGCTTGGCCATGGGGTTGGGGCGAGACAAGAACACGGACGTGATCCTGATTGTCACGATCCTGTGAGATCGCTGAAGATGATGTTACTTCTCCGTGCTATCTACATCACCCATCTTGTGCCGATTGGTCTATAACAAAATAAGTCTAGCCCTATATGCCCTATACGCCTGAAGGCATGGAAAAGAGACATTTACTTTTTTTTGTTACTCCGTGCCATACTGCCTTGCCATTCGAGTATAAATGCTTCTACCCTCTCCTCGCCCTTCCCCCACACCCTATTAAATTAAGATTCTATCACTAAATTTAAGAGTTTTTGTTTCTTGTCCTTCTCATACGATTTTCTGTAATGCATTTCTTTTTCCAAGTTCAAGTGACAATTTTGAGATCATGCATCTTTCCTGGGGGGGGGGGGGGGGGGGGGGGAACTTGAATGTGATTCATGGGTTCTCACTCAGTCTTTAAAGAAGAAAGTCGAAGCTTTTGCACTGAAATGCTAAAGAAAAATACGTAGAATACTGTGGACTGAAAAAGAAGAAAAACGTCGACATTCTGCACGACCTGAACATCCAGGAGAACTGGCTCGTAAACAGCATTCTCTCTAGAAAGCTGGTGTCAAGGGCCATGGTGGTCTGGAGATAACAATGATGTAGGTTGCAATTTCAGGAAAACGAAGCAGATGCCGGCTTTCGCGAAGGTGGGTACAGGACACTGAAGATGCATTGACTATGAGAGCACACAGGGCTGGAGAATTGGGTAGAGGAAGAGTGACTTTCAGGCGTGCCGTGAAGAGACTGACCTTATGTAAAGAACATGTCTGATTATGTGATGATAATTTCCTATTAATGTGTATGTGTTTTATTGTCAAGTTTTTCCGCATATTTCTTCAAAATATATTAACGTTACCATATTATGATATTTATTGGTCAGTTCTCGACCATCATTTCTAATTTGTTGTTGTCGTTGTGTATATGTGCGGAATGTAATCAGCGATATATAGGCTATTCTTGAGAACAATGACTTCAACGACGAGGTATGTTGGTGACTCAAACACTTTTCTATATTGTATGCTAGTGAATTACTTAAATGTATTAGTTTTGTCATCAACATTGTTCTCTCACTGCCGTAAAGGCTAACCCAGGCAACAAATCTTACCCGGGCAACAAATCTAACCCGGGCAACGAATCTAACCCGGGCAACGAATCTAACCCGGGCAACAAATCTAAAGCGGGCAACGAATCTAACCCGGGCAACAATTCTAACCCAGGCAGAAATCGGAGATGTCAGCGCTGTCGGGCAGAACGCATTTAAAAAAACAATTTTTTTTTTTTAAGTTTTTAAATTAAATTTTTTGTCTGGGTTGAATAGCTAACAAGATACCGTATTCGTAATAAAAAAATACTTTTTCTGTTTACTGTATTTGTATGCTACTAATGTAGCCTCTAGTTGGGGGCGGGTTCAGGAAATGTCTTCGTTTTAGTCGAGATTTCAACTTTACTGCAATCGATCATGCTTCCTCTGTTCCTGTGCCAGTGCTAATCAAATGAAATGTCCTTCACCGTCGCATTTGAAAAAAAAAAACTGATGAACAAACAATTAGTCCAGGAACAATCTAGAAATATGCGCCTGCTGTAAATGCATATTTCAGTTGCTAGATGCGCCAAAACCAACAGTCGCCACCAGAAATGCAGTTTGTCGTTGCTGGAAGTAGTCGGGCATGATAAGTTTGCTAAACACACATAGAATTATTACACACAGTATTTAACCAGCTCACACGCAAACCTGCTACCGGCAATATTAAATAACACGACACAACCGCTACACAGATGAAAGCCAATTCACAGGAAACACACAGCTTCACCATGGCTGCACCAAGCATTAAACTCAGTAGCACAGGCAGCGAAACCATAGACTACCGTCCATGTGGGGAAACTGCATTAGCAAAGCGCTGTCGGAGCAAAAATAACTTCGAAGCTCAACATTCTGTCATGCCTAATCCTTCAATTTAGGCCGGAAGTCAAACGATAGAGAGTTACAGACATCACTGAGAAATGTGGTCGATTAACTATATAAGGTTCCGGGGCCTCACTGCCGTAGAAACAAGAATAGACCCACTCCCTTGCCAAAAGCATGTCGTAAGAGACGATTAATAGGCAGTTTTCTTGCATCTATGTGTGTATGTGTGTGTATGGATGTGTGTGTGTATCTATGTGTGTGTGTGTGCGTGCGTGAATGTGCGTGTGTGTGTGTGTGTTTCTTCTTATAATTATTATTATTATTTTTCTGCTTCTGTTGCTGCTACTACTGCTTATAGATATATTGTAGATAACAAGATCCTCGCCGATGCTACAGAGTTCGTGCACTGCGCTAAGATTCTTCCGACTCTGGCTTGAGTTAGAAGTATAACGGAGCACTCAGGGTTACTACCCTTGTGCCATGATGTTAATCTGTTGTTTAAACCCTTAAACCTTTTTATAGAATTTAATAGGTCATTAGGAATGTACCCCTATTATACATGTCTTTTAAATTTTTTTTTTCACTTTCAAAATATCCTAAAGCTTCAATTTCTTCCAGTGTAATACTGTCTGACCCACATGCCTTTCCTTTCTTCATGTGATGCATCAACAATGTACCACATGCATATACCACACTGCCACCAAATAAACATCATTATACCCCCCCCCCCCCCCGCGACCTAAAAAAAAAAAGACCTCTGTGTTTACTAATGATGGTCAAAATCTATAAACCCTCCGATTATTATATTTCTTCTTTTTTTTCCATAGGACCGTTGCAGAGAGCCTAAAAATCGGTAGAACGGTTGAAGCGGAGTGTTTTGATGAAGTGACAATATACTTTTCGGACATCGTGGGGTTTACCACCATCTCGGCCATGTCTACGCCCATGCAAGTGGTGGACCTGCTCAACGACCTGTACTCCATGTTTGACGCTACTATCAATAACCACGATGTTTACAAGGTATCCTGTTGTCAACGCCCACTCCACATTTGATTAGTTATTGTTTATAATTTGTATTTGACTGGCTGTGAGTCTTCAACAAGATTTAAACACACACACGCACGCGCGCACACACACACACGCACGAAAACACACACACAAACACACACACAAACTGAGGATTGATGGCTGCATAGCTGGTGCTGTTGCCACAGTCTTGGCAGGTTATGATTTTAGTTTTACGCCGACAAAAACAAAAACAAAAATTCATGACCTTATCGAAGATTTGAACCTGTGTCTTCCCGAATCTTTCAGCCAGCCGACCTTACCAAACTAAAGCTGGTTGTTTGCGAAGACTTTACTGGACATTGCACAACCAGCCCCAGTAGTTTTTGCTGTTTTTGTTTCTCTAGGCAAATTTACGTTTATTAGTTTACAACTTCTGAAGAAACGGTCGGCTCTCCTGATTCTTCTTCTTCTTCTTCTTCTTCTTCTTCTTCTTCTTCTTCTTCTTCTTCTTCTTCTTCTTCTTCTTCTTCTTCTTCTTCTTCTTCTTCTTCTTCTTCTTCTTCTTCTTCTGCCTTTCTATCCCCCAATGGAGCATAGGCCCTCAACCAACTCAACTCGTTCTATCCTTCGCCATTACATGGAGCTCTCCCTATGTCCTTCCCATTTTTCTAACTTCAATCTACAGCTCTCCTTCTGATAGCACTGTCAAAACTAACGCAAAGCAGTCTGCTGCATTATGAAACGCTTAAGCCACAGATGCCGACGCCTCATCAAGACTAGGCTGAGTCACCAATAAAGGGATTTAGCCCCTATTATAATTAGTTAAGTAAAGTAAAGATCCTTATTCTACGCCTTTAGGCGTATAGGGCATATAGGGCTAGACCTATTTTTTATACATTAATCGGAACAAGATTGATGATGTGGTCAGCATCACGCCAGATAAAAGTTAGTTGCATATCCTTTACAGGACGTTGCAGAATCAACTTATCCATTTTTGGCTGTTGTGGTTTTTTTTTAATGAAAAGTTTACGTTTATTTGTTGACCAACACTTAACGGTCAGCTTCCGGTAAGTAAAAAAAAAAAGTTAAGGACCCTTTTGACGCCTTTAGGCGTATAGGGCGTATAGGGCTAGACCTATATTTATATAGACCAATAGGCACAATATGGGTGATGTGGTCAGCATCACGCCGATCGCCTCCACTTCCCAGGACTGCACCCAGTACCCACTCAAGACTGGGTCGACCTGGGGGCCAAGGTCATTTTTGAAAAAAGTCCGGCTCCTCCAGGGAGCGAACCCACAACCTTCCGATCCGCTGCGAGCGTCTAGCCGCTCCGCCACAGGGACTCCCTCAGCTCTCGGTACCACTGCCAAACTCAGTGAAAGACAAATCGTCCGCAGCAGGGATCGAACCCTGCACCCTAACATTACGATGTGCATTCGCTGAGCCTAAGCCACAGACGCCGAATACTATAATACTAAAGCGTAATACTCAAATTAGATGCCATGTTTAGATAGTTTAAACCCTAAAGTATTTGGGTCTTACGGTGTTAAGTTGGCTTAAAGATTTGTTTACTATAGTTCGTTAAACATCTCATGAACACACTTGCAAGCCACTTTCTCGAAGACTGCCTGTTAGATCGCAACGATTTGTTTTGCATGCACCCTTAGAATATCCATGCCGCAAAAATAATGGCATTCTTTAGTCCATCTATGCTCAGGATGCTTAACACCAGCAGTTCTTTTCATCTTTTCGAACCATTGTGAATACGTGGAGTAAACTTAAATTTTTCAGTGAAAATCTTAATTTCCTGTTCTATTTTTTTTTTTGGGTCAGAGGCGTGTCTTAACGATGTATCGATAGGTAAAGTACACTTATTTGTTGTCATTTATGTTCACTTAATTGAGTTGAGTTGAGCTGAGTCACGAAAGGCATCACAGCAATAGGAGCATTCAAATAGGCGCACCGTCCCCATCTTCAGCAGCCAGCAGAGAGTTCCAGTATTAATGGTACTGGATGCTGCCTGTTTTTATGTTCATATTGCCATTACTCTGAGTATATTGTGCCGGCCAGGCCCTCTGGTTACACTCATGTGAATCATTCTCTCCAGGCCATGATAATCTGTTTACTCTGCTGACTTCATTACTTTCTCCCAAAGGGCCTTGACCACATCTGCCTTGTCATGTATCAACTCACTACCCAGTGGTGCAGATGCAGCCGATCTGTCTGCCTTGTTCAATTGTAGACATGTCCCCAATATGCAACAGTTAGTATTCCCCTTCAGTCACCATTAGACCCCACGGTGTATCTTAACTGCACAGCAAATTTTATTATGGTTGACACATTTGGATACGGAGATCAATTTCTTGCAATTGTAGATATACCTAAAGGGTTAAAGATACTGAACCCTTATTGAAAAAAAAAATGGTTTTAATCATTCTGAATCTGACGATCCCAAAAGGTTAATAATTGTTGACGGCTGAACAAATTGTAATCCTTCACGCTGCAAGTACTCGTCTTCCCCCCGGGTGAATGTTCAACACACTTTTTGCAGAAATGAAATTCTATTTTTGAGAACGACTTTTTAAAATGTCAATGCTGCATTGTGATTTCAATGTTAATTTCAGTTGATTTGTCTCTAAAATTTTAAAAATCTCACGTCTAATGGCATCTACATCAAAGTCGTCAACTTTCTTTTTCCTTCCTTGCTTGACATGAGTGTACTCTGTGCCCTGACTAATCCAATGGTTAAATGCTGCTCTATCCAGACCAAGCGCCAATCGTGTCCGTTTCTCTTGGTCATCAATATCACCCATCTTAGATTCCGTGAGGAAGTGCTGGTACAGTAAGGTCACCTTCTGCATAGTTATAAATTTGCACCTCAAATTCATTCTGAAATTGTTATTACTACTTTTCGTCCTTCTTAGGACGTTATTTTTTGTTATTTGAAGCCCCACTCTGGCTTTTGCCAGGGGCCGCAATATAGGCAGGTCATCATTATGGCCAAATGTCTGAACGCGGTTTCTGGGACCTCTCCACGGTGATCCTCATCCGCATGGTGGCACTTTGTGTCATTGGGTGTTTATCGCTTGTGTGATGTCCTGGTGGGGTAAAAAATCCAATCCAATCATTCTGAAACTGATGTCTATGTCAGCTTTTAAAAGCTAGCTATGTGACACACAAATTCAACACTAATTTGTGGATTCGCCTTTGACCGACGTCTTATTTTGGCGCAAGGTCACTAAGAGTTCAAATTTGCACGAGAAAATCATATAATTGGTTTCATTTGACCCCATGTTAAACCAGTCATAGTGTGCCTTACTTCCTGAAATTAATGAAAGTAAACCTTCCAAACGTGTACCAAGACGGTTTCATGATAAAAATATATATCGTGAAAAAAAAAAAATTTGAAAAATTAAAAACCTACATATGATATTATTCTTTAGTGAAAAAAATATTTCCTTAACGTCATGGATATTCTTAAGCTGCATGCAAAAACTCATTGCGATAGAACAGGCAGTTTACTAGAAGCTGGCTTGAATGTGTGTCTATCTATTGTTGAACGAACTATAGTATTAATAAAAGGCAAACACACACACACACAAAATTCGTGTCAGTCGTGTCTTGGGCATAATATATTTGAATTATATTTGTAGACTAATCTCCCCTTTTATTTATGATATGGTCACAATGCCGGTTGTCTTTTCCTCCCAAGACTTTATCTGGTACCTTTTTTTAGGATGGGACTATCTGGGAGCCAATGTCATTTTTGAAAACCTTTGGGAAGTTATTATAGGGGCGCCGGGTTGGGGGCGGGGGGGGGGGGGTGGAATCGTGTATCCTATCTCCATCTTCTTAAGCATGCTCATGGAATCACTTAGAAAGTAGTAAAACTGATGTGTCTATCTCATGTACAGTGTGAATGGAATCATTGTTTAGTTTTTGTTCTCTTGTCAGGTTGAGACAATTGGTGACGCTTACATGGTTGTCAGCGGACTTCCCATTAGGAACGGCAACAGACATGCTGGAGAGATCGCCACCTTGGCTTTGGTTCTCTTAAGTCAGTGTGGAAAGTTCACCATCCGACACATGCCACATGTGCCACTTAGGCTCAGGATTGGATTGCACACAGGTAAACCAGTGAATGACAATAAATGTAAGCTTAATCTTGAAAGCAAGAATTCAGCCTACTTTAGATGGTTTTCTTTTTACTTGTTTACAATTCTTAATTCTTTCTGGCTGAACGATTAGAACGCTGGGCTCTCATTCGGGAGACCAGGGTTCGAATCCTCGGTAAGGCTGGGAATAATTTTTCTGTCGGGGGCAAAATAAATTCCTCACCTGCACAGTGGTGACAGCACTAGCAATGTGGCCTTACATCTTCAGGTTCAAAGACCCCCACCTCCCCCCCCCCTCTCTCTCTCTCTCTTTGCCTTCACCGCAAAAGTGGTATATAAAGCCAGTGATTAGCACTTGCTACAATTTTTAAGAGATATTCTTTCTTGTTTTTCTTCGTCTTTTGTCGTTTCACTGATGCTCAGTGTCTGTATTTGTCTTGCGCTTCTCGGGTGGCTTGGGTGATGGATATATTAAATATATATAATATTATATATATATATATATTAAAGTACAGTGATTTAGCAGCCGGTTTGAGGAGAAACGAGGCTTACACAGTAAGGGTTTTTGCCGTCGAAGTGGGAGCGAGAGGCCTCGTTTCCACTTCGCTCTACAATGTGGTTAAAGAATTGGGATTGCGCGGTAATGAACGGAAACGAACACTTAAAAAACTGGGAGAGGCAGCCGAAAGGGCCTCTAGCTGGCTGTGGACGCAGCGCAACAACGTAGGGGACGGGCCTCGGTGAGCTGGTCCGGGTATCTAGTGGAAAAGAGTTTCTTATCCCTTTGAAAGTCCATCGTGTACGAATTGTCTGCCAGTGTTCCTCTGCCAACTGCTAATAAAAGTCCAACATGTGTCCGGTAAACCAAAGTAAGCTTGTCGCTCGGTCGTCCAGGCACGCTGACTGTTCTAATTAAGCTGCCGCGGCGGCTTCTTATCTCACAGTACCTCCTTCGAAACCACTAAGTCGTCTTGTCTCTGGCCGAAATAATAACACCATCCGGTAATCTGTGCAGCGGGGAAGCAGCCCTGAGCTTCATGAACTCAGGTGGGCCCACCTCCGAATACGTTTAGGAATCGTGGGCCGAAACGTGTGTCGAAAGAGGATAATTTCTACTGATGACTGTAGATCCCCGCTGTACTTGCTCCCTGTGAGTTTATTCTTATTGTACGTGGCTAGCCCACAAGACTACCAGAAAAGACTGGTGACTATCGGGAAAGACCTTTTGACACCTTTGGAAAGACTGGCCCCCCGGTATCGCCGGGGGGATAAACTGACATCTGGAGACAGATGTCGACTGTGGACCGGGTTGATCACCCCTAACACAGTATAATACCTCCGATTTCGTACGACCACAATGAAATATGCCCCCAGGGCCCTCCGAAAGGGGGGGGGGAGAATGAAGGGCCCAATCTGATTAATACCCTCGTTGACGACTTTGCTAGCCCCCGGACTGAGACACTCGCCCAACGTCCGGGCTGGCTCTGTACATGTGGGAAAAGCTTCACGGGGTTGCATGGTCTGAGAACGCATGCCGGAAGAATGAAATGCGAGGGTGCTCCACGCAGTAAACGCCGTCGCAAAACTACCACTCCTGTGGTAGTTTCTGAGTCGTCAGGGTACGACGGGCAGGGTGAACCCCACTCGCCCGGAGAGGCCCATGACGTCGACTGCGGAGGAGCACCTTTGATGATTTCTGAAGAAGTGCGTTCCAAGATCAGGTTTCCACCTGCGAGCGAGAAGGTGGTGTGGTGTAAGTTGGAGGCTACATTATGTGAGGTAATTAAACAAACTCTAAACAAGAAGTCGCTAGGCGACAAGCTTACTAAATTTGGTGATGTAATATATGAACACTGCTCCCGCGAGTTCGGGACAGTAGTAAAGGCACAGCCGGGTGCCAAGCAGAATACTAGCAGGAGGCAGAGGGACATTCTGAAGTGTCGGGCAGACAAGAATGCCCTCAGAAAACGGTTCAAAGCCGCTACGGGCAGCGAACGGGAGGGGCTGTACGAAGTGTGGGTGCATTTAAAGAACAAACACAGTGCCCTCTGTCGCGCCGAGCGTTTCTGTAACAACAGACGTAGAACACAAAAGGGAGCGAGAGAAATTCTTTAGGGACCCGTATCAGTTTGCCCGAGGTCTATTCGAGCAACCGAAGTCTGGGACTCTGGTTGTCAGTCAGGAAGAACTAGAGCTACATCTACGCAAGATGTACTCGGATAAAAAGAGGAGAGAGCCTCTCGATGACAATCCAGAGATCCTTAGCGGTCTTAAACAGCCTTCGGTGCCGAAGGTACCATTTAAAATGGTACCTCCCCTTTGGTCTGAGGTTGAGGACGTTGTGAAAAAAGCCAGCGGCAAGTCTGCCCCAGGTCCGAACGGTGTCCCGTACGTTCTTTACAAGCGTTGCCCGAAAATCCTAAAAATGCTTCACGTCTTGTTGAGACAAGCGTGGATCCGCAACCACATATGTCCAGAGTGGTCAAAGGCAAATGGGGTCTACATTCCCAAAGAGCAGGACTCGAAGAGTCTTTCCCAATTCAGGCCCATCTCGCTGTTGAATGTTGAGGGTAAGATATTCTTCTCAGTCATGGCTCGCCGGCTCACACAGTATCTGATGACTAACAAGTACATAGATACGAGTGTTCAGAAGGGTGGCATTCCAGGCGTTCCTGGGTGCCTTGAACACGCGACCATGATTTGGGAGGCTATCCAGAGAGCCAAGCATGAGAGAACCGATTTGCACGTTATATGGTTGGACTTAGCCAACGCCTACGGGGCAGTCCCCCATAGGCTACTGTGGCGAGCCCTTCGCATGTTTCACGTACCGACACAGATCAGTCAAATGGTCGAGCAATATTTCTCTAAGTTCGCTTTGCGCTTCTCTACCTCGACGTTTACCACGAGGTGGACTGAGTTGCAGATTGGGATAGCTATGGGCTGTACGATCTCACCCATACTGTTTGTCATGGCAATGCAGATCTTGTTAGACGGGGCGGCCGGCTACGGACTGGGCCTTCAAATAGGGGATCACTGGTTGCCGCCACTGCGCGCATTTATGGATGACACGACTATTATAACGGGCAGCGAGGAGTCTGCCCGCACGATCCTGAATAGATTGGACGCGGTGGTCCAATGGAGCGGTATGCAGTTCAAACCGCAGAAGTCGAGGAGTCTGTCAATCCATAAGGGCAAAGTGTCGGCGATCAGTTTTACGGTGGCAAGGAACAAGATCCCTACGGTTCTGGAGGAACCGGTGAAGAGTCTCGGTCGCGTTTACGATTCGAAGTTATCTGACAGAGCGGAAGTCCGGCGAATACATGAGTCACTGGCTACAGGCCTGCTCGCGATCGAGCGATGCAGGCTGGTCGGAAAATTCAAGGTATGGTGTCTCCAATTCATGTTGATTCCGAAACTCCTATGGCCACTGTTAGTCTACGAGGTGACGATGACTGCAGTTGAAGCCATGGAAAAGAAAATCAATACAGCCTTAAGAAAGTGGATTGGAGCACCGCCTTGTCTGACCGACGTGGCTCTGTATTGCAAACAGGCTAAGCTGGTACTTCCGTTCAAGTCGATAACCGAAGAGTTTAAAGTCGGCAAGGTAAGGCTCGCCATGCTCTTGCGTGAGTCTTCAGACCCAAATGTCATCGCTGTCCAGCCCGCTCTAAAGACTGGAACCAAGTGGAGAGTCCTCGATGCGATAGAATCTGCTCAGAACGCACTAAAATTGAAGGAGATTATGGGTTACACACAAACCGACCGTCGAGGCCTAGGGCACGGGAAGGTCAATTGGTGGTCAAAGGCCTCAGCCAAAGAACGCCGAGACATGGTGATACAAACGGTGAGGGACAACGAAAACGAGGTTCGGGTCCAGAAAGCAGCCCAGCAGTCGCAGCAGGGCCATTGGGTCAGCCTGGAGAGCGCATTGCCGAGAATACTCACATGGGGTGAGATCTGGCGGATGACCCCGCTGCGACTGAGCTTTATCGTTCGTTCGGCGTACGATGTATTACCGTCTGTGTTAACATGGTTAAATGGTCTGCGACCAACGATCCGACTTGCCCGTTGTGCAAATCAAAGCAAACTCTTGAGCACGTCCTGTCCGCGTGCAGGAAAGCTCTAGGTCAAGGCCGATACACCTGGCGCCACAACAAGGTGCTAAAGGAGTTAGCAGCCGTTGTCGACCAGGCTAGAATGAGGGCTAATGCCAGAGCCAGTTCTAGTATCGCCCCCATTCGTTTCCTCAAGGCTGGGCAGGTTCCAAAAGGTAAGGTCAACCAAAACGCATTCGCTCCATTGGTGCTAGACTCTGCGAGGGACTGGTTACTGGCGGTTGATCTGCCAGGCCATGAACGGTATCCCGAGTTGATCCGTAAAACCGGCCTGCGACCGGACATCGTTCTCCATTCTGCGCAAAAACGGCAGCTCATCCTGATTGAGTTGACGGTCCCGTTTGAGTCGCGTATGGAGGAGAATCACTTGTACAAGCTCGAAAAGTACAGTGATTTAGCAGCCGGTTTGAGGAGAAACGAGGCTTACACAGTAAGGGTTTTTGCCGTCGAAGTGGGAGCGAGAGGCCTCGTTTCCACTTCGCTCTACAATGTGGTTAAAGAATTAGGATTGCGCGGTAATGAACGGAAACGAACACTTAAAAAACTGGGAGAGGCAGCCGAAAGGGCCTCTAGCTGGCTGTGGACGCAGCGCAACAACGTAGGGGACGGGCCTCGGTGAGCTGGTCCGGGTATCTAGTGGAAAAGAGTTTCTTATCCCTTTGAAAGTCCATCGTGTACGAATTGTCTGCCAGTGTTCCTCTGCCAACTGCTAATAAAAGTCCAACATGTGTCCGGTAAACCAAAGTAAGCTTGTCGCTCGGTCGTCCAGGCATGCGGACTGTTCTAATTAAGCTGCCGCGGCGGCTTCTTATCTCACAGTACCTCCTTCGAAACCACTAAGTCGTCTTGTCTCTGGCCGAAATAATAACACCATCCGGTAATCTGTGCAGCGGGGAAGCAGCCCTGAGCTTCATGAACTCAGGTGGGCCCACCTCCGAATACGTTTAGGAATCGTGGGCCGAAACGTGTGTCGAAAGAGGATAATTTCTACTGATGACTGTAGATCCCCGCTGTACTTGCTCCCTGTGAGTTTATTCTTATTCTTTTTTGCAGGTTTCGGCATTTGCATCATTTATTCATCTTTTTCTTGGTCCTCCTGTCGCCTTCCTCGTAGATGTTCTGCTGTAGAAAGTCCCATATGCAGTTTGGCCTGGCTACATTCACTAGATGGCTGAACCATTTCTTTTTTTTTTTGGGGGGGTCAATATAATCCAGACATGGTCTTATTCCAACTGTTTCTCTAATGCTGTTATTCGTAACCTTGTCTCTTCTTGTGTTGTTAATGACCTGGCGGAGACAGTGCATTTCAAATGTAGTTTTTTTTCTGTTATAGAGCCAAGTTTATTGTCCATGTTTGGCACTGATAACATAAAGTAGTGATACAAATGCTGTTAATCATTTGTTGTTTTGCTGGAAGGGAGAAATCTTGGTGTCTAAGCAGTGAGGCTTACTAGTAGGTGACAGTAATTGTCTTCTGTACTCTGTCTTCTATCTCTCTATCGAGTCTGACATCCTTCGTAAATATGCTTCCTAGATATTTGAATTTTCCTACTTGTTTAATTGTAGTACCGTTTGTAAAAGCCATGGGAGATAGGAAAGTCGAAAGTACATAGGTAAAAGACAGGTAATGAACAGAAAAAGTCGGGTTAAATAAAGGACCCTTTCCCACGCAACTGTTTTGTACTGGGTATATGGTGCTAGATCTTTCTTTCCCTTCTAAAGGTGAGAGGATCGAATTTTTTTGCACTGGGTTTTATCCCATATGGCTCAATTTCCACAGAACAGCTAGCTGCCTACCGAGAGCATCGCACTGAGCACGATCTTCATAACTCCGGCGACGATATCCAGGGAAATTCGTAAAAATTTTCCTCGTGAGCTGATAGGCGCCTCCGTGATTCGAACCCATGACCTTCAGAGCAAGAGGCAAACGGTTTGACCACTTCGCGACAGTGCTAGACCTGTATTTTTACAATAATCAGAATCGATGCGTTATATGGTTAGCATCACACCGGCTGCATTTTTTCCCCATGACTTTATCAGGTGCCTATTTAAGGCTAAGTCGACTTGGGAGCCATGGTCATTGTTGAAAAAAAGAAAAAATTCGATAAATCCCCGTATGGGTTCCCGGGCCCCATTGTGGGGGGGGGGGGCAAGAATAGACCCACTGCATACCCAACAACCATGTCATAAGAGTCGAATAATTGTAGGTTTCCTTCTAAGTTGGAGCTCAACTGCCTAAAAGGCAAAGAACCAACAATCTGCATATAATTAAGTCAGATCTGTTAAACAAATGTACACACAACACTCAGGTTCTGGAACAAGACTAAAGTCCAGAGGTGGACAAACAACCAGAACTTTCCGCCGTAGTTTACAGCTGGTGAACTCGAAGAAGATGAAGAAGAAGAAGAAGAAGAAGAAGAAGAAGAAGAAGAAGAAGAAGAAGAAGAAGAAGAAGAAGAAGAAGAAGAAGAAGAAGAAGAAGAAGAAGAAGAAGAAGAAGAAGAAGAAGAAGAAGAAGAAGAAGAAGAAGAAGACATCCGATAAACTGAATAGTGAGATGATAGCAAATAACTTTTTTAGGTGTTAACACACACACACACACACACACACACACACACACACACAAGGGCATAGTTTTCAGTGAGAAGACACCATCAACAAAAAGGCATTGATGCAATTGGGAAGAACAGGAGTTGGTAGTTTTACGAGTGAGAAGATAAAAACAAAGAGATGACAGGCATACAAGAGGGAAGACAACAAGATCGGGCTGGCAGACATGCAAGTTTGGAACTTAATACCAAAGGGATGACATTCGTTCAAGTAGCAGCAGCAGTAGCAGCAGCAGTAGCCGCAGCAGTGCACCAGTAGTAGCCGCAGCAGTAGTAGCAGCAGTAGCAGAAGCAGCAGCAGTAGCAGAAGCAGTAAGAACAGAAGTAACTGTAGCTTTTCGGTTTAAACAACTGATCAACATCATGGCAAAAGGGTAGTAATCCATAAGTGCTCCGTTCTACTTCCAACTAGTAGTAGTAGTACATTTTACCCCACTAGGACATCACACAAGCGATAAACACGGATGACACAAAGTGCCACCATGAGGATGAGGATCACCCGTGAAGAGGTCCCGGAATCCGCGTTCAGCCATTAGACTATAATTATAGCCGGGCTATATTGCAGCCGCTGGAAAGAGCCAGGGTAGGGCTTCAAAATAACGAAACATTGTAACCCACAAGGAAATAGCTGTTGTTATACACTTCTAACTCAAGCTTGAGTCCGAAACATCTTAGCGCAGTGCATGAATTCTGTGGCACGGTGAGGATCTCGAAGAGGCTTTGGGTAGATTTAGTAACTGTAGCAATAATAGTTATATTGTTATAGCTTTTGTTGTTGTTGTTGTTGTTGTTGTTGTTGTTGTTGTTGCAGCAGCAGCAAAAACTGAAGTAGTATTGTTTAATTATCTACCCAGGATCTTGTGTTGCTGGAGTTGTGGGTCTGACTATGCCACGGTTCTGCTTGTTTGGTGACACAGTGAATACAGCCTCGAGAATGGAATCATCTGGAGCAGGTTCGTATGTGTGCCTATGTACTTTAAGTGCCCTTTGAAGGGTAGACTGATCCAGGTGTCTATGCTCTGATTTTTTATTTAGGTATCTTTTTAGATTGACAAGGTCCATTTATCTATGGGCTATCTCCTTTATGCGACTTCTGTGGGGCTAGATTGGTCCACGTCACTATGTGTTGTCTTCTTATTAAGTTGATTCAAGGACCGACATCACTAAACTCGAGGCATTTCCTTACGCACTTCGTCCCCATCTTCAGCAGCCAGTGCAGAGTTCAAATGATATTTCAATAAACTAATGGTGCCAGTAGCACTCTGATTATACGTCCGCCTTGCCTTCCTTTGAGCGTTGAGTATCGGTCAGATCCCCCCGTCATTGCCAGCTGTATCACTTTCAACAGACTGGTGATCCATCTGCTCCTCCGAATTGAACACGTTCTCCCACGACATTACCTGGTATCCATTTTAGGCTGGGTCTACTGGAAGCTAACATTTTTACTTTTGAAATTAAAATTGACTCGATGGGGTTTTGAACCAAAGATCTTTGGGGAAGCTTATGCAGGCACTTGGCTATCGCGAAGCCAGCAACAACAAACAATTGATAGTCTTTTAATGATTTGGGTAGCTCGATTTCTATGTTTATTTTTTCAAAATGTCCTTTAGTCTATCCACAGTGGTGTCAATATTCCTCTGCATATTAATATATAGACAGCTTCTACATAATGTCTGTTGCACAAACGCACTCTGTAAATACTGTTTGTTTTTATTGTCATGACGTGTAGTCTTCGAATACAAGATTTATTGATTTGTTTTTATTGTCTTATTGTTTCAATTTCTCACTTGTTTGTCTGCAGCTTTTAGAGTACACATCTCTGAGGCCTGCAAAACTGCTCTTGACGTGCTAGGCGGATTCAAGACGGAATATCGAGGCCAAATCGAGTTAAAAGTAGGACCTTCTTTTTCTTCTTCTTTTTCTTCATTCTTTCCTTCCTTCTTTCTTTTCTTCTTTTTCCTCCTCCTCCTCCTCCTCCTCCTCATCCTTCTTCTTCTTCTTCTTCTTCTTCTTCTTCTTCTTCTTCTTCTTCTTCTTCTTCTTCTTCTTCTTCTTCTTCTTCTTCTTCTTCTTCTTCTTCTTCTTCTTCTTCTTCTTCTTCTTCTTCTTCTTCTTCTTCTTCTTCTTCTTCTTCTTCTTCTTCTTCTTCTTCTTCTTCTCTTTCTTTCTTTCTTTCTTTTTTCTTTCTTTCTTTCTTTCTTTCTTTCTTTCTTTCTTTCTTTCTTTCTTTCTTTCTTTCTTTCTTTCTTTCTTTCTTTCTTTCTTTCTTTCTTTCTTTCTTTCTTTCTTTCTTTCTTTCTTTCTTTCTTTCTTTCTTTCTTTCTTTCTTTCTTTCTTTCTTTCTTTCTTTCTTTTTTTTCTTTCTTCCTTTCTTTCTTTCTTTTTTCCTTTCTTTCTTCCTTCCTTCCTTTATTCCTTCTACCTTCATCATCATCATCATCATCTTCACCGTCTTCTTTCTGATCATCATCTTAATAATTACCATAATAATATTAATAATACTACTACTTCGAAAAATGTCGATTGTGCGATAGAATACATTGACTAGAATACAATGCAAAGGTAAAAGTGGGTGGTGAGAAAGACCTTTCGAGTATAAGAAAAAACGTTTGTTGCGTATCCTTTACAGGACGTCGCAGAACTAACCCCAGCATATTTTGGCTGCTTTTTTTTTAAAGGCATATTTCACTATCATTGCCGATTAAACGGTCTGCTATCGGTAACACTGTCGAAACCAACGCTAGACAAATTGTCCGCAGCGGGGATTGAACTCCGCACCTCGACATTACGAAGCACGTTCGCAACGTCTAAATCACAGACGCCGACTTTTCGAATATACCTTATTAAAATAATGAAACCCGCATTCCAAGGTTTACTTTACTAATATTTTTCAAAGTTTTTTTTTTTTTTTTAAATATAGGATTGATTGCAGTCTGCATGATTAGTGATTAAAATCTCAGTGATTATAATCAAACAGGTAAACATCTGGGAAACCCCGTTTAACATATAGCCATAGGTTAGTTGCATATCCTTTACAGGACGTTGCAGAACCAATCCCAGCAGCCCCTGGCTGTTGTATGGTTTCTCTAGGCACATGTACGTCCAGAAGTTTGCCATTGCCTCTGGACGGTCGTCCCCCTGATACTACTGACGAAACCAACGCAAGGCATATGACCCTCAGCTGGGATCGAACCCGGCAACCTATAGCTATACAGCGAGATTATAGTTGGGCACCACAAAACGGGTGCAAAGTAACCGTTAGTCCAGTATCTTGACTATAGTTTTCGTACTTTCCGGGGTGTATTGTACTCACGGGTGTGGTACACAGCTCTCTCTGGTCTCCAGAAATGACCAAGACAATCCACTTCCGGTGGAAGGACAGCTATAATTTGTTCCACGTAAACTTCGAGTTTGGCCAGTGTTTTAAACAACTGTAATTATCTACTGTACTTGTTACCATGGATCGTCTTTTCAGTCACAAGAAGTACTCAGATCGCTGACAGAAACAACGGAAATTAGGTGAATAGCTCACTTTGTTTATGTCTTTTTCTGGGTTTGGTCGATACCCTGTGGTGTTAGTACTAACAGAGCTGTCTTAATAGCATTACATACCCCAGGGAAAAGCAGTCTACTGGTTCCCCTACGACAACCACTGATAGTTTAACATCATGGCATGGAAGATCATCTGTTTCCAGACTGATTTCCCTTATCAGAAAAAGACAGTGTAATTTCTATGGGCATGTCATGAGAAAACTGGGGTACATCGTACAGCTGGGGGAGGGGGGGGGGGCAGAGGAAGACCCCGAGAGAAGATGCTGGAGAGTTTAAAATCATGGCATGGAAAATCATCTGTGTCAGAAGCGATTAAAGGTGCACAAAACAGAAGGCAGTGTATAGACATGACTACCAACGCCACACGACATGGGCTATAAGAAGAAGTGGTGCATCGGACATATGGTGCTAAAATCATATTTTTGGGAGACTAATCGTCAGTCGATGAGGTGTGGTCAACATCAAGCTGGCCGACTTGACTTCCCATGACATTACATGACACCTATTTTAGACATAGCCCTGGAAGGCCGTGTCAGCTTTAATTAAATCCGACTCGATGAAGTTTTTGAACTCAAGACCGTCAGACCCTCAAAACGTCAAAGTAGAGTATTTTAATCACGATTGTGAAACTGCTGTTTACTTGCCAATGTATGTCATAATATCATTCTGTCAACAGTAATCGGAGTATATACTTTATTGGAAGCTTTTTGTTATACCGAATCTAATCTACTCTGCGGCTTGAAAAAGGAGTAGATAAATGCCTACGAGTAGAACAAGCAGGATTCAGAAAGGGCAGAGGAACAACTGAACACATCTTCGCCATACGTAACATTTTAGAACAATGCAATGAATGGCAGAGAAGTATATATCTATATATATATATATAAATCAATGTTTGTATGTTTGTTTATTGCCTATAGACTCGGAAACTACTGAACCGATTTAGCTGAAATTTTCAGGATATGCTTGTTTTGATACCGGATGTTCACCCATCATGTTTTGAAATTCAACCTGTCATTGTTAAAGATAGTTTAAGACAATTTAAGCAAAAATATTCGAAACTTATATTTATATTTTTAGCTAAATCTAATTATAGCCACGTTACGTGCGATCGATTTACCGTGCATGCACAGTAGTGACACTCTATCGTCAACATCCGCCCGCAGAATTACAAGGAAAACGGCCATCGGTTTTTAGTTGTGTTATCTAGAAATATCTAAAAGGTAAGAGCATTTATTTCAGTAACATTAGTCAGTATGTACATGTTTTTTGTTTACTTCAAACAAGTGTGGACCACTTCTTAAATCCCGCAATGATAAATGTATACACATTATCATTAACCATTATCATCTTTCTAATACCCATGAGTACAAGTAGTACATTTTTGGTTGGCTTTCTTATGTTATTCAAAAGAATTATATAAATTTACACGACATTCCGTCTCAGGTCAGTGTTAGAATCTAACAATATCTAAACAGGTGAGTGCATTTATTTACGTAACATTAGTCAGTATGTACATGTTTTTTGTTTATTTCAAACAGGTGTGGACCACTTCTTAAATCCCGCAATGATAAAATAAATGTATACATGGAGTATATACATTATCATTAACAATTATCATTATCATCTTTCTCATACTCATGAGTACAAGTAGTACAACATTTTTTGGTTGGCTTTCTTCTGTTATTCAAAAGAATTATATAAATTTACACGACATTCCGTCTCAGGTCAGTGTTAGAATCTAAAAATATGACATCAGTCATGATTATGCATTATGTACATGTTTTTGTTAACTTCAAACAAGTGAGGACCACTTCTTAAATCCAGCAATGATAAATGTATACACATTGGTCCATCAGTCATTATGTACATTTTTTAAACTTCAAATACATGTGTGGACCACTCCTTAAATCTCACAATGATAAATGTGTGCACATTATCTGTTGGCTTTTTCATAGTGTCTTATATACCGTCTTTTCTTACTATTCGCTGCCCAGTTTCTATGCATTTCCTCTTGAGTCAAAATAGATTTTTATCTCATGCTCATATTTCAACTATTTCAGCGATACTTCAAGTCACATTTCATTCAGTGCGTGAGGACGAACAAGCTATTGATCGGCGCTCACAAAATTTGTAGTTATGCTTCCCAAACGATAAGCGATTGGCCCATCTACACCTAAAACACGCAAGAGAAGGGCATTAATTGCTTCAGAAACAGACGAGCAATGTGAGGTAAGACTGGAGACCATTCGAGTGCGCACTGCTGAAGCCAGTTCATCTCAATCAGACCATCAACGGAAAGCAAGACTAGAAAACGTTCGAGTGCGCACTGTTGAAGCCAGATCGTCTCAGTCAGACGAGCAACGAGAAGCAAGATTGGAAACCAATAGAGTACGCACTGCTCATGTCCGTTTATCAGAAACAGTCGAGCAACGGAAAGCAAGACTGGACACCGTTCGAATGCGCACTACTTTATCCAGGTGAACACTGCATGTTGATTTGAATCTTGGTGCATTCCATTACAACAGCAATTATGATTACAGTCTTCATCCACAGGTGCTTATTGGCAAAATGGATCAATTGTGCGTACATTGCAGTGCCTTGAAATTTAAGAATGACATGCGGGGTATGTGCTGCGCTGGTGGAAAAGTTAAATTACCAGTATTACATTCACCAACCGAACCATTATCATCATTGGTAGCAGGTGGCACAGGCCAGTCGACACATCTGTTGGCAAACATAAGTACATTTGCAAATATGTCAACAAAGGAGGCGATATGGCAGTCTTTGGAGTGGGACATGCAGATGCATCTATCGATGAAATCAAGCAATATTAGCTGGGGCGCTACATTAGTAGCATTTTGTCATTTCCAATTCATGAACGACATCCAGCAGTTGTTCATTTGGCAGTGCACCTTGACAATTGACAGCGCGTGTACTTCGCTACAGAAAATGCACATGCACGAGCATTGTTACCACCGCCAACTACGTTAACTGATTTTTCTCATTGTGTAGAGATGATATGTTTGCAAAGACACTACTTTATTCTGGTCTGCCAACATACTACACGTGGAATGGATCAGCTAATAAGTTTCAACGTTGCAAGCAAGGTCAAGAGGTCGTCTCCTACTTTATATTCTACTGATGTTTTAGGCCGTTCATCCCAAAAATGCAGATTGCTTTTACTTGCGATTACTTTTAATCAACAAACGGGAACCGACATCTTTCCAGGACTCGAGAACAGTTTATGGTAAAGTATGTGCTACTTACTGTGAAGCTTGCCAAGAATTAAATCTTCTTGACAATGATGCACATTGGGACACTTCACTCGCTGATGCTTC